TGTGTGTGTGTGTGTGCACATGTGTGTTTACATGTGTGTGTGTGTAGGAGTGTGAGGAGGACCCCTGCTGTGAGTACCAGACATGTAAGCTGAAGTCTGGAGCTCAGTGTGCTTATGGAGAATGCTGCTCGAAGTGTCAGGTAAACACCAGCAGCACAGTCTGATTATCAATAATCGATCCATCAGCTCAGTGTCAGAAACATCAGCACTGACACGTTTTCATTTTGAAAATAAATCGACCTCCGTTCAGACGAACATTTAACGTCTAAGTGTTAGCGACGCTTTGTGTCACCGCTGGTAGTCATGTGACTGATGAGAACCAATCAGGGAGAGAACGTGAGCCTCATCGTTTACTAAAGTCTCAGTTTCTGTTCTGACTAAAACACAAAACCAGACGAGACCAGTTTACACGAGTCTCTGATTCAGATCCGGCCCCTGTTTATCAGGATGTTTGTAGTAAAACATGTGATGCTGAACATGTCTTTAAACACACGTCATTAAACTGTGTGTGTGTGTGTGTGTGTGTGTGTGTGTGGGGGGGGGGGTAGTACCTACCAGGAGGAACAGTGTGTCGCTCCAGTACAGATGAGTGTGATCTCCCAGAGTTCTGTAACGGCTCCTCGTTGTTCTGTCAGAGCGACGTCTTTGTCCAGGTGAGACTTGAAGAGAACAAACCAACAGACACTTTACTGTGGTGTGAATTACTGAGTGTGTGTGTGTGTGTGTGTGTTACAGAACGGACAGGCCTGCAGGAACCAGCAGGCCTATTGTTACAATGGGAAGTGTCAACACTATGATGGACAGTGTCAGGCCATATTTGGACCCAGTACGTATGTGTTTACAGCACAGACTGGAAATAAAGATGGACGACATCACGCTCCTAAAATGTGAAACAGATCTTCTTCCTCTTCCTCCTTTCATCCTCTTCCTCTACCTCCCTTTCTCCTCCTCAGAGGCGAAGGCTGCTCCTGAAATCTGTTTCAAAGACGTCAACAGTAAAGGCGACCGCTTTGGAAACTGTGGCTACCACAACTACGGTTACAAGAAGTGTGAGAGCAGGTAACACACACACACACACACACACACACTGAGATGTCTCCAGAGCCTTGTGATGCTCATGTTGGTCTCCATAGAAACGCTCTATGTGGAAAGCTGCAGTGCTCCAACGTTCAGGCGGTGACGGTGTTTGGGATCGAACCATCGATCATCAGCACGCCGATCGGCGGCGCCAAGTGTTATGGAGTGGACTTCATGCTGGGATCAGACGTCCCTGATCCCGGGATGGTGAACGAAGGAACCAAGTGTGGAGATGACAAAGTGAGAAGGAGGGGGGAGAGGGGGAGAGGGGGAGACAGGAAAGAGATGTTAATTTCTTCTTCTTTGGTGTTCAGGTGTGTATGAACTTCGAATGTCGCAGCGCAGACGTCATGAAGTTCGATTGTGACGTGGGGGGAAAATGTCACGGACACGGGGTAAGAACGTCCACCTGTCTACCGGCTCATCAGGTGTCTGTGTCCCACACTGACCTGTCTCTGTCTCCGTCAGGTGTGTAACAGTAACAAGAACTGTCACTGTAAGGACGGCTGGGCTCCTCCCTTCTGTGAGGTCAAAGGTTACGGAGGCAGCGTGGACAGTGGACCCACGTGGAACGGTGCGCTCACCTTTAAGCACCACACCACCTGACGCTCGTTACATCAGAGCTGTGAATTTCACTGCAACCAATCAGAGCCCAGATTCTCTGTGGAACAGACTGAATCACATTGTGTGATCTCAACAGATTTCATATTTTAAGCTCCACATTTCTTGCACTTCCTGTCTGAGTGAACATGAATTTGTCCTCTTCAGACAAAGACACGTCCCTCAGAGACGGCCTGCTCGTCTTCTTCTTCCTCGTCCTTCCTCTGCTCGCTCTGGGTGTGTTTGTTTTCCTGCGCAAGAACGAGCTGCTGCGACGACTTGGGCTGAGCCGCAGGAAGAGGTCACAGGGATACCAGTGAGTGTGAATACGACAACTCACACACACACGCACACACACACACACACACACACACACGCACGTTTGTGGGGTATTCAAGGACACTGGGACATTTATAAACCACTGATACTTGCATTTAGAGGGAGTCAGTACTGAGGAGAGAACTTGCTCTCGACAGCAGGACGACGTGTCGTTAATGTAACTGATGCAGCGTCAGTGTCAGACATCGCCTGTGATGTGTTCATGAACAGGTGCAGAAACCATGTAAAAGAAACTACTTACATGTTATTTCCAAATCATCCAGTGTGGACTTTTCCTGTTTCCATGGTTACAGAGCGATCAACAGGAGAAGCGACAGGAAAACAGATCAAATCGCACATATTACATAGAAACAAATAAAAAGGAAGGAGTGACATGAAAACGAATATGTATTTATTGTATGATTATCACTGCCATGTTCCTACAGAGGAGCGAGCAGAGGTCTGAGGTGTCGCTGTGGAATTTGTGGATCGTAGGTTTTTTTGTTTTCGGGGGAAACACACTACGATCAGTCGAACTCTTCTTCTTCTCTTGGTCATTTTCCGTAGACTGTAAATAAAGATGGACGATGCGTCTCCACTTGTACAAACATGAAGGGTTTGTTGTTGCTGAGGTTGAATCACATTTTTTCATTGTTAACGTTTCGTCACTTCCTGTCTTCAGAGCTGACGGTGCAGCTTCAGACAATCCCATCAGAGGACCTCCGCCCAGAGCGCAGCCTCCATCTGTTGCCCGGGGCAACGCCGGCAATATCGTCAAAGAGGGGGTGAGTGTAGCAGCTGAGCGGGTGTGTCGGGGTGATACTCTGTGAGCTCAGAGAAAAGACCAGAGGGGCTGGGATGTATCGTGTAGCCTGCTGTTGCTTCTCAAGGATTACCAACCCTAGCTTTAAGATACGGATGAGGGACTCAACCTATAGATCATTTATTTAATCTTTAGATGGTAAATTCAGTGTTAGTTAGTTAGTTAGTTAGTTAGTTAGCTAGTTAGTTAGTTAGAATTCAACTGCCTGTGTGTCCCCACCACTGGTGTAGTGGAGCCTTGAGAACTGGGTATCATCCTGTCCAACGAGGGAGAAACATCATGTGTTAGAAACAATGACACGTGAGACTCTTGCATGTTTAGTTCACCCCAAACAAAGAGTCGAGCATCACCCGCCCCACTCTGCCTGTCATTGGCTAACTCTGATATTCTCATCCTAACTAACCAATCACCGCTCCTCGTACATAAACCAACCAACACAACCAAGAAAAGGCCCCGGGTACTAACCAATCACAGGCAGAGTAAGGCTGGGGATGCTTTCGCTTTCGTACACTCAACTATACAATAGGCCCATCAATCATCAGTGTTTGATTCCCTCTCTGGATCTTCATGTTTGTTTCTGTTTGAATGTTTCATAAGAACTAATTGAAGTTAATGAGCTAACGAGTCCTAACACCCTCTGCTCTCTCTCCATGTGAAGCACCACGCTCAGCTCCTGCCACCACAGGAGGTAAAATACTCTGATTTCTACTCACACTGAACCAACTCTACTCTAATACTACTTTAAAACTATATGAGTGATACTACTGCAACTCTGCTGCTGTTTCTTGCATCCTGTTCATCTCAAAGATTTATTTATAGACCGTAAATAAAGATGGATGACACGGCAGCTCTCAAATGATCTGGCTATCCCCCTGGTGGCTGGCTGCAGTATAGATCATAAACCTCCTCCATGTTAGCAGATGGGACATGAACCAAACTAAAAAATCAAAGTAGACGTTAAATAAATGTTTGTCAAAGATGTTTCTGTCACTTCAGGTTCTTATGACACTGAGTTTGGTTTTATTTAATAATTTGATGACATAAAAACAGACTTCATGACGTCATGATTGACAGCTGAGACTGACTCAGGATTGGTCGAGAGTCATGTGTCACGATCACTACCGCACCGACTCTGACTCCAAATGACGTCAGCACCATGATATTGTTCATATCTGAGATATTTCCACCTTGTTTCTAGAGGAAGTGACATGTCTACCATCTTTATTTCCACTTTATCACTTTCTTTGGTCTGACCTGGTTTTATGTGTCTCTGATTTTTACCCTGAAGGAAAAAAATGTTTAATCTTTGGTTCGACTCCCATCAAGTCATCAACACAGTTTCATCTGTGTGGACATGAAGCCTCCTCAGTAAAATAAAGTTTTCCCAACTAATAATAAAATGTGTGTGTGTGTTTGTGTGTGATCAGGTGGCGGAGAACAGCAGGACAGCTCCATCTTACGCTCTGAGGCCTCCTCCTCCTCCTCTGTAAGAACAATACAGCTCCTGTTTTCTCCTCTGAGATAGCTCACAGCTAACTTTGCAGCAGTTTGGTCTATTAGAGATAAAATCCACCTTCCAGCAGCTTAAACTCTGAATTCCATGTGTGTAGTTTGTTTAACACTTTTGTAGAAGCAGAAAAGTCTAAAGGAGATTTTAAGGTTTTGGCATCAGAGGTGTTGACAGTTTTTTTATTTCCTCCTCAGAAAACCAAAACCTTCTGCTGCATCACAGCCTCTGGTGCCTCAGAGACCCGCCCCTGCTCCCCCTGTTTAACCAATCACCAGGCCCGGACCACCTGGGTGGCGCCCGTCTTCTTCGTCTCTTCTTTTTCTTCAATCCCTGTCCTCTCGGAGCTCGTAACCTAGCAACAGCCAGGAAATGATTTTGTAGCTAAGACAGCAGCTGACTCCCGGACGAGGAAATGGACGATCAGGAAACTGAGTCAGGCTGGACTGGGAATTTAGCAGAACAAACAGGAAGCAACTACTGCCCCCTACAGTCTTTCTTTCTTTCTTTAAAAACTCCTTCAGGTGAAACATCATCTGTCACAAACCATCCAATCACATTTCTGTCTTCACGTCCGGGGCAAGCTAGCTAACTAGCTATTAGCTCAAAAAGTTGTTCAAAGCATTTGAATGTTTCCAACATATCGCTTCAAACTGAGAAACATTTTAAAATATTATTTAACTAAATGCAAGATAGCATGTAGCTACCACATGCTACCACATGATACCACATGCTACGTAATGATTAAAAAAGATGGAGGGTGAGATGCTTCACTCAGACAGATTGGTGCTGTCTGATGTCACCTCCCCTCTGCTCAGCACTGTCATAGGAATGTAACACACCCCTGCTGCTGCTGCTGTGCAGGTGCACTTGGTCTCCACCACTCAGCTCCGCCCGGCGCTCTGTCTCTCCAGAATTGTAAAATCCCAGTATGCAACACTGTCTGAGTCCTAGCTCCTCTGGTTTTCAGTTCCTCTCCTTCAGATCTGGACCTGGACCTGGACCTGGATCTGGATCTGGATTTGGACTTGTGTGGTTGTTTTGTTTTATCACAAAGGAAATGGAAACACTGAAGCACTGTTGAGCTGATCTCTGGGATGTTCTGGATCTGCTCAGGTTAAATCTGTGGCCCGACATTGCTCAGACGAAACCTTGTGAGCGACTTGTACCGACACCGGCCACCTTTCGATCACTTTATCGTTGTCATCTTAGTTAATCAGGAAGCAGAGTAACAGACCAAATAGAACAATTTCACTGAAAGGTATTGGAATTAGGATTATTTTTATCTGGAAAAATATTTTAGACAATTTGAGATGAAAGACATCACTGATTTTTGTACTCCTTTGTATAATGGATATATGGATAATGTCCAATATAATGGACCAAATATTCCAGTAACATTCTGGGAAATTGGAGGAGTTCTAACCCCGCCCCCCGTAAACTACGCCCTAGGACATGGTTATTTTAGGATTTTCTAAATTTAGTATTTGACTTTTGTGTTTGGTTTGGATCCATGTTAAAGAACATGTGTCATACTGGATCTCAGATTTTGAATCATGTTCACACATGAAGTTTCAGGTATAGTTTGATGCAGGATTCAGTTTGATGCTGGAACATCCCACAGTTAGAATGTCTGACAGTGTTGACGTGTCTTTAAGGTGGAAATGATGCCTCATAAAGGTCCTGGAAACGTGTGGACTTCCTGTCTCTGCTGCCTTAACTCCAACACCATCTGAAGGAAACATCGGGACCCTGAGGTCTGGACTGAGGACTGATCCTGATCCTTTAGTTTCTCTGTAGTTGTGAACACACGGCAGCCTCCATCACAGTCCCTCAACATTGTCCTGCTCTGACACTGTCACTCTAACCAGGGATCTTTACGCCACAGGAAACTGACAGGCCTGTCACCTTCAAGTCACCTTCCTGTGACTCGGAGCGTCGTCACTACAATGAATGAACCTGTCTGCACTGTGTCATGTGACGATGTTTTGATCTGCTTTAGTATATTTTTGATTTGCACAGATACAAGGAGCTGGCGCAGGATTATGTCAGTTACTTACAGGGCTAATTTTGTGTTTGATTGTTTTGTTGCTAAAAGAAAATGAACGCGATCACAGTTTCCTCCTGAAGTTGATTCCTGAGAAAAGAGAACAGACAGAAGTTATTTAGAGACATGAGAGCAGCTGAAGTCAAAGTTCAAGAGAGCATCAGGTTACAGATGGTGAACAGATTCTTCTGCTGCTTCTCAGTTTAAATATAACAAAGCTCATGTGCAGATTCAAACCAACTGTCTCCTCCTGTTCAACTCACACTCGTGTGATTCACAACAAATCAAACCAAACCAAAAGGTTTCAACACTTGTTCATTGGAATTTTCTAATGAATTTATCCATCACTTTATTATTTGTAATGTTGTCAGAGGTTGACGTGTGAATGGGCTCAGAAGATATGTGTCAAAGTGTATTTCAGTGTTTCACTAAAAAACTGTTTCTGAGACGTCGTGAAGAAGCAATGAGACGGACGAACCCGCTGCTGGTTTGAGTCTGCACATGTTGAGTTTCTCTAGAATATAAAATCAATACAAATCCAGCAGACTGATCCTCTGAGTGAACGACTGTGGAACAACTCATCCACTCTGAAGGTATTTTACAGTTAGCCGCCTTTATCATTAAAGTGATCATGTATCAATAATTATCATCAAACAATATGATATACCATTCTGATATCTGCATAACCAGTGGTTTACTTTTGGTACTTTAAGTATATTTTCACCCTGATATTCTTATAATTTTACTTAATCATACACTTCACTGTGGTAAAGTAACTTCTACTTCACATGTGAGGCCTCAATGTGAAGTTCAGTTGTGTTTGTGTTGAACGTGTGTGAGCTGAACCACAGCAGGTGAATGACAACAGTATGACTGATATCTCCATGACCACACGGAGAATCTCTTCGCTGTCTCTATGATCATTGATTTTCTATAGGATTACATTTTTGTGCAGTGTTTGCTTTAGTCACTGATCTCAGACATGTTGGCTGCTCCTCTTTGGAGGTTTCTGTCATGTACATGGACAGTTTGATGTCACTATGGTAACAGGCATGGAGCAGGTCTGCAGTCATGCCAAAAGTCGCGCTGCGTTCAGGTGCTGTTTGCTGTGAACGTTCAGCCTCTTCCTGCAGCTTCCTGTCATGATGTAATAAAGTTTATTCAAACAGAATGTAGTTTTTTTGTAAAGATGAAGCTTGTTCAGATTCACACTGTACGAAGCCACGAGTTCTCCGACCCGGTGATCTCTCAGAACGTGTGTGTGATGTGATTAAACACAAATTCACTTCATGAAATATTAAAGACCTTAAA